GCGAAATTGCACTTTTGCGGAAACCCAGGGAGGGAACGACCTTCCCGACCACCCAGTAGTGACGTCGGACGGCCCGGAGCCGATCCAAGTGCGCATTATACAGCCGTAAAAACCATTCGACCCCGAGATCGTTACTACCTTGCCAACTGAGACGCCTAACGCAATTATTGTCAGAAACGAGACGTCAGAGTCGCCGACCGGACCCTAAGGGAACCTCCGATTTATGCGCTCCGAGAAGAGAGGGCTACGTCCGACGGATTCACAGGTGACGTCGTCCGCGACCGTAGCGGCAAACGATTCCACTTGTCGGGAGGGAAAATTCGCCGATAAGGACCCGGAGGTCCTCTCGAGGCGATTATTCTTTCCCCGCCGACGTTGACCCCGCGTCATCTCCGGTCGCGGGTCAAAGGCAAACCGCCCATAAGGGGCCCGGTCTCCCCCTGGCCACCCACGATCCTCTATCTCGCCCAACGCCGAACTCGATCTTCCATTACGTGCGACCGGCCGCACTTTACATAATAAGATGCGTCGCCGTGCTCGTCTATATCTTCTAATGTCGAAAGAGAAAAATTGGACCCGACGACTCGAATCGATCCTCCGCCCTCGACCTCGTCGATCGCTCCCGCGTTCAAAATTTTACTTCCAATTGTACGTATGAAATTAATGGCGCGCACAAATAGTCGAATTCACCTCGACGCGATGCAACTCCCGTAATCGGCCAAGAGTGTCGGCGCACAGGTGCGCCCCTCGAAGGTGCACTTTCGCATCCCCCCGCGGCCATTTTTTCCCGGCTCCCAGGGGGCGGGTAGACGGCCACCCCCGTTCACCTTCGTCATCCAGAGCCGCCTCCACTCTGCTGTCCGATAAACCCCGCGGCGAGGCGACAGGTTACGAACACCCCTTTCTCGGCGAATTGCGACTTCGACCCCCTCCCCGACCCCTCTTGGCCGGCACTCGAACGGGGTCGAAATTGAGTGACTCTCTATAGGTAAACCATCGCTCCGTTGGGTAATTTGCGGAAAGAGCATTTTCTCATGGAATATATATGAATTTGTAGACAAATCGCAGGGGGAGGATAAAAAATGCGAACAAAAGGTAATTCCACCCCATCAAACAAGCGACATTAGAAATTCAACGAAAAGCCCCTCGCCAGTTTGCTAGCCAATTCGCAATCGACGAAGTATCGTTTAGGGACCCCCGCCCCGCGCGACCGGAAGCCGCGCCGTCCCCCCCTTCGGGGGGAGATCGATCGGCAGTCGCGAAACGATTGTGAGGATTCCCGGGGGAAATAAGGGGGCCATCGGAGGGGGGGAGGGAATGGATGGAGAAGGGGATCGTTGAAAAACGGGGGGGATTCCAATATCGCGACTCGGTGAAGCGGTCGCGTCGGAGGGAGGGGGCAGAAGATGAGGCAGATTGGCAGGTGGACGAGAGGCAGAGGGGATGTCCACAGTTGGCGGCCGTGGGGCTATTTTCTTTATTATCGGCGGAACGCAGCCGGAGAGAGAGAACGGAAACTAGATCTACGGACTCCCCCCCTCCCAGGTAACGTTCCTTCCGACGAACGGATCCAGAGGGAACTCCCTCGTCCGCGTCGAGGACGCGATTTCAAGGCTGACTGGTCGCAAAGTGAAAAACTTTTCCGCGGGCTCGTCGCGCCCCTCGGCGAACACCTGCGCGGGAGGCGGAAGGGGGTGGGCAGATTTATTTATTTTTTTCTTCGTCTTCCCCTCCCCCCGACTTTTCGGGAAATTTCATTCCGAGTCAATGGATCCAAGAACGTCTCGGAGCAAGGATACGCGATTTTTCCGAGAGGGAGGGAAGGAGGACAATCGGAGAATTTGACCGTCGCTTCCCAGGGGAGGGAGGAAGGCCCCGCGTGGCTGGGTGCTCCTCTTTTTCTCCCGGCTCGTCCTTTATCGACTCATCGGGATCCTAGGTGGCGCCTGGACGCGGCACCTCTCGTCCCCGGGCGGGACCGGGCGGATGGAATGCGAGCGTGGGCGAGCATCTTTCCCGCCCGGTTTGGGACCGGCCGTGTCGCGTCGTCGGGGGGCCCACTCCTTTACTTCGACCCCGTGGGACTCGATCGGGGGACGTCGCTCGCGATTTCGAAAGAAAAACAGGTCCAGCCGTTTCCATCCCCGTCCTCGGCGTCTCGTGGGGGAGCGAGGGTTAACCTCCCCCTTGGATTCCCGAACGTGCCCCGAATCTCGATGCCTCGCCTCGTCGGCGAAGACACCGGAGTTAACCTTCGGCCCTCTCCCCTCCGCGCCCCTCCGCGCCCCTCCGCGCGGTCGTGGGTCACGTGGCCGCCGTCTCCCGTCAATGAGAGCCCCTGCTCGGGGCCCGAGCCGCACGCGGGGGCGGCGCGACCCACGCGCCATTGTCTCCGCGGCGGTGGCGGCGGGCGCACGCGGCTCTGCGAAACGGGAAGGCCGCCACGCGCGCGCTCGCGTGAATCATCGGGTTCCGGTCCGGCCCACGCCTGCGCGCGGCCCACACCGTGTCTGGGCCCCGGCCCTTCGCCGAGGCTCCGCGCGAGCGTGGATTCCTCTCCCGCCGTCGGTCGGGAGGAAGGGAGAAGCCGGAAGACCAATCGCCGCCCGAGTTAATGACCCGCAATTATTTCGCGATGATTTTGTTCTTATTATTAGCGAGAACCCCCTGGATGAATTTTTTTTCGATAATTCTCGTGGAAAAAAACGCCCGCCGAGGAGGTCGGAATTTTTTCTCAATTTTCATTTTTCCGCGAACCATCCGTATCGTGCGTTCGGTGCATCCTTGCATTTGCGAATAACCCTCCGTTTGGTCGCGATGCCTGCGGTTGCTTCCGGTGGATGCTCTCTGCCTGCGGTCTTGCTGGCTGACGCGTATACGGACACGTACGTACATCTGGCTAGTGGAGGGCGGTCGCCGATGGAAATTTTCCTTCCCGTTTTTTCCCCCGATTCTCGATGCGAGATGAAATCCCCGAACCGACCTCCTCATCGGACGGAGAAAATTCCCGAGAAAGACGGCAATATTCCGAAATTTTCTCCCTTTACGGGAGAACCGCCAATCGGACGGGGTGGAAATGGCCAAAGGGGAATAATCAACCGGAAGGCGCACAGAGGGGGCTAATTAGCTCGGAACAAGACAAGGGGGTTGGATCGAATCGACGTCAATGGGGTCCAATTGGGACGAATGGACAAACCCCTGGGACTGTAAATTACATGCATTACGGAGGGCAGGATTACTTTAATTATCAACGGGGGGAGAATTTAATCCAACGATTGGAATGCTGCAGGGAAAATTTAGCGGCTTTCTGAAATTTATATCTTTTCTCCTCGACGTTGCGCGAGATAGCAATGGGTGGCAATGGGTGGCAATGGGTGGCAATGGGTGGCAACGGGGAGCAATGGGGGGCAGGGGGCTCAAGATGGCGGCGGACCCCCGGAAGCGAGGGCCAAGCCCGAATCGGGGGTTCCTCGTTACGTTTTCCCTAATGAATCCTCGGCGGCAATTGAGCGCGCCAGTCGGCGCCGACGGGCCCTCGTAATTAATGACAATTATTATTATCGAAGGAACAATTAACGGTAGGAAGGTGACAGCCGCCGGGCGGGATAGAAATTTACGGCGGCCGAGTGGACCTGGCCGGCCATCCCGATCCCGCCCTCCAGGGTCACCGATAACTCCCGCTGGAGCGAACCGGGATTTTCCAAAATTTACCCGCCTCTTCCCGATTTCGAATACTCAAGAGACGAGGGAGAATTGGAAAACGTCGCGCGTCCGGCATTAATCTTGGCGTTTCGTGTTTGAACTTCGTTGTCGCGAAAAATGGGGAAAACCTTGAAAGAAGACGTCCAGATTGCGCTCGGTTAGCTATGAAAAAGCCTCGGCGAACGGAGGTACACCTGCTCCTTAATTACGCCAAGATGGCGGCCATCGATCTCCTCGAGGCCATCTCGATCATTCGAAAATGATCTCTTCCCTCTCTTCGAGACTTTCCACGCGAATGCCCTCGACTCCCCTCCATGGAGCTCGTTAACGGAGACCTCGTCCCAGAAAATAATTTCGACGCAGAGGGTCCCGACCCTCGATCGTTTTTCCCCTCGTCTTCTGAAATTCCATTCCCTTTTTTTTTCCCCTCATTCCCCGTAAGAACAACGAGCTTACGGTGACCCTGAATTTCGTTTACCTCCCATGGATCGCGTCGACGTTATCTGCGCGGTCGGTCGCTTCAAATTGTCAAAATATCCCTGGGGTAGATCCCGCCTTGAGATATCGTAATTAAAGGGCAGGTGCATCTCTCCATTGGCACTGTCGTGTTTCGAGCTAACGGAGCGCGACCGATCTCCTCGAGGATGAAAGCGCGCCGAGATTGCACCCCCTCTGACCGAGATAAAAAAGAAGTCCATCGTGCGCCTCGATGGAAATAAAAGTAAAATGAAAAATTAAGCCCAGCTTATTTTATGCGACTTACATCCATTCGTCATTTTGATTTTCGAGAACGAGCGGAATTTTCCGAGGAAACGGACCGAACGAATTTTTCGTGCCGCGTAATTTTTCTCGGGTGCATAATTAAAGGGCAGGTGCAGCCTCGCCGGTATTGTCGTGTTTCGAGCTGACGTTCCGCTTCTCCGCGCGAAGATTAAAGTCGTCGCACTCATCGCAGGGACGCTTCTGCTTTTTCGCGGCGAAATTGCGCCGAGGTGTCGGCGACTTTGAAAAATTGACGCGAACCCTGTTCCGCCTCGGATTAACTGGAAACGAGCCCCGCGGATTCCGCGCACGTCTCGATACCTTCGTCGATTACTATCGCTCCGTCCCGGAAGTCTCGCAGCCCAGAAAACTCTCAAGCTTCTTTTCCTCCAATTTTTTTTCTCGAATTTTCGCGTCGCTTCGCCCGCTTTCCCCGGTTACCCCGGTTACCGTTTTATTTTCTAACAGCTTTATCATTTAGGAATTCTCGAAGTAGCGTAAATATATTAAAAAGGGGCTACGAGAAATTCACTCACCCCCATCGCCGCCTCTCTCTTCCTCCTCCGCTCTCCGCGTCTCTCCGTCTCGCTCTTTCAGCGGTGGTCCAGCTGCTCGGATGAACACATGACTTCGACAGGTCGCGACCACGTGGCCTCTCCCGTCACGCGTCAAACGTTAAACCTCAAACGTCAAAAACGAGCCTCACCCTCGCTCGACCGCAGCCGCAAGCGGCCGCAACCGAGCGGAAGCGGATTTGCACATCTGCGGCCGAAAAACCGGATTTTATCCGGAAGGGCGGTAGTCGTGCGACCGAGCGCAGGATTCTCGTCCCTACGCGAGAGGGAGACCTCCGAGGTAATGCCGGAACGGTAATTGGAGAAACAGAAGTTTGGGATTAATACAAAAATTAAATAAATGAATAAATGTTGCCGGATTATTCCGATATAACGGTTCCCAGGTTCCTTGTAAAAAATGTTCCGATAAACCTAATTAATTAACTCGACAAGAGCGTATATTATTTTTATCAGTTCCCGATAATTTAGAAAATTATTACCAGGAGGTCTTCCCTTGATTTCGACACTTACGCGACGCGAAATCGATTCGTCCTTCCTCGGCGGAGTCAAGAGCGAAACTAGGCGATCGAGTTCGACTTTGAAAGGCGGAGACAGAGGAAGAGGACGGTCGGTAATAAACAAAATTCTTAGAATTCCGAAATTCACGAGTCGACAACAAGAGATGGGAAGTCGACAAGAAACCACGATCCATAATTCGACGGTAGAGAGGAGAGAGAGAGAGACGACCAGCTCGGATCTCCCGCTTCGGGCTTAGAAATCGATTTGTTTTGTATACAAAGGAGGGTCAGGTCGGCAAATACTCGGATAATGGCTCGATCCTTACCCCAACGTCTCCGATATATCCGATACCCGAGACGTCGATAACACGCCCGTTCCGAAATTACGCCCTCGAACATCAATTAACACCGAAACTGAAGAGCGCCTAAAATTTCCCTCCACGTATGGGCGTTTTCCTTGAAAATAGCGTCGCATTCCCTGGGCGTCCCGAAAACGACACGACAAAATCTTTTGGAAAATTAAATTGAAAATCTCGAGATTCTTGGAGCTCCTCCACAAATGACGCTTAAAATAGAACCCCCTCGCGCAAAATATTCAAGAATTTCCACATTTTTCCAAGTTTCTACGCGGCCGGGCGTTTTTGTCTCCGTGACTCGCACGTAATCCTCGCCCGACCAGCGAGTAAAAAGTGCAAGAGAGAAGGAGACCCGCAATCGAGGCGACCCACTTCTTGCTCGGGGCACCCTCGGTACCGATCGCAGGTGTAATGACAGAGAGAGTGCCGGCGTTAGGTAAGGTCACGGATCGAGCCTAGACCGGAAGCGGAGACGGCGTTTAGGCCGTGCCGCTTCCGGAACAACGAGTCCCAAACAATGTCCCCGGCTGACCGGATCGCTCGTCGCGTTTGTTCGGGCTCCCTCTCGCGGAAACGCGAGCGGAGGTGCCGGAAACCCGGGCTGGCATTAAATAATTTCATTAGCTGCCCATTTGGCGCGACCGCGGCCGGAAGCGGCAGCCCCTCTCTCCCGACTCGTCTCCATTTTTTTTTTCCTTTCAAACCCGACGATCCCATCGAATGATTTCATTTTTTCTCGTGGCAATTTATTTCGTTTCTCCGCGTGTCGGTGGGCGGTAAAAAAAATATCGAGTCTCTATGAAAGAAATACCGCGATCGACCCGTTATCGATACAGGAAATACCATCGATGAGCCAAAAAGGGGTATCGAGCGGGAAGGGAGGCGAAGATCGAACGGAAGGACGGGAAATCGAAGATTTTCCAAGATGGCGATGATTTCCGAAGGCACCGCCAGGAAAGGCTCCGTAACGCGCGGCCTCGGAAGTGGCGATTGTTATTCGTCGAGCGTCGCCGGACGTCCGGCGTTTCCGGTGGAGCCGCGCGCGAGACCGATCGGTCGGCGTCGTGGCGGAGAGCGGGAGGGAGAGAGAGGGATAGAGAGGGCCGAGGGACGGACGCAGAAGCCCCGGATGCTCGGCCGCGGTCGGCCCGAGTCGCGCCTACAAATTGCCAATTAACGCCCAGCCGCCGACGCGGACGGAAGGCGGCTTTGTGGCCCGCGGGGCCGCCTTGGCCCTGACAATGGATCGCGGAAACGCCGGAAAGGGAATCATGCCCGATAATGCGCGGCATTCGGGACGGGGAGTGGAACGCCATCCGAAATCACCGGCGAGGTAAAAGACCCCTCTCGAAGCGAGCTCTCCCTCCGTCTGCCTCCGTCGAAGACATCCCAAGAAAATTCGGGGAGAACTCGAGATGATCTCTCTTCATTTTAGGGTAAATCGTGGAAAAATGTCGAGGCATTTAATAAAGCCCGGTCGATTGCGCTCTTTCGAAAACGCGACGAGGGGTCGCGCCGGGTCGCGCCGGGTCGCGCCTACAAATTGCCAATTAACGCCCGAAAACGCAAACGCCTTTTCGAGGGGCCTCCCCATTGTGGAAAAAAAGAGCGCTTTGGCCGCGTGACGGGACGCTTCTATTTCCTCGTTTTCGGTTTTTCCTTTTTTAGTTCCAGTGACGCGTATCTCTGTCCGTCGACTCCGGATGGCTCGTCTCTTTCGAAGGCACGCGGCAACGTTTTTCCTTCGACTTCATTTTCGGCGAAAATAATTAATAGCGATTTTTTGCAACCATTGTACTTTCAATAAACGAATTTCGGAGCTTTACATTTTTTGCGCGCGTAATATGATATTCATGTTTCATGCCGGGCTCGTTATACCCCGGGGTTTACAGACGTCAATTATAATTAACGACGCACTTTTGCAACCTGATTATTAGCGGTGCAGCAGATATTGATATTCCTTCATGAATTTAATGGCGACCTGGATCCCGATTTTCCCGGCTATCGCGGCCTTCCAATGGAGATTCCGACCGTAAAATGTAACAAACGACGAGCCCGAGGAACTCCACATCAGTTTTTAACCACGATCGTAATTAATATCCCAAGAGTTAAAATTATCAGCGAATCCGACGGTGCACATCTCCGCGAAATTTTCTTTCCCCCGGTAATCCCCACCCCGTGCAAATTATATATTTGCGAGCGTTCATTCGGGTCAAACGATTGTTCCTTGAAGTATCGAAATATTTCTTTCTTTGTTGCCGCTGAAAAAAATATTTTTTTACTTCGATGAATTGTCGTCCTCGGTGCAGAAAAGGGAATCCACGGAATGATCGGCCGATATTTTCGGTTCGGCATTTCGGAAATCCAGCCGATGTTTCCAACCGATAGACGCGAAATGGCCCAAACGTTATCCGCGGAATAATCCGCACCACTTTCCCGATGAAACGCGAAACATTAATTCAAGGTACGTGCGACGCATTAGCGCCGTCGCGGCCGTCGCGACACCCCGTCGGAAACGCGGCACACCTAAACGACCAACGACGCATTAATTAGCACGGATAGATATCGCGTTTTATCCCCCCCCGGGAATAAATTACAAAACGGAACGGTAAAATATCACCCCCGTAACTATCATCCCTTGGCGAATTTACCTTCGCCCTTTGCACCTGTGCACCGACGAGCGCCGAATCTAATGTTAATTTGCCGCGTTCTCGATTTTTATCTCACAAATTTGATAGTTGACTTTAGTATTTTTTTCCCATATTTTTGTAAAGGTTAAATAAAATGTTAACGAAAAAAATCTCAGGGAGGTATGAGAAAATCTGAAAAAAAATAATGGATAAGGAGTATCGAGAAATCTTTTCTGCAATTGAAAATGGAGTCGGTCAGTGTTTAACAACATGCCGGACAGGACTCCGTTTTAAATAAGAATGGGAGGTTCCCCACCCCTTGGCCGGGAAGATCGGGGAAATTATGTAAATCCGAATCGCCTGAATATTTTTCGAGAAATTCATGAATTTTATCGGGCCCTCGCCCGGGCGGAGGTGAATCATCTCCATAGGATAATCGCGCCGGGTAAAACGCATTGTATTCCGAGAAGATGATCCAGCCCGGTGGTGGTCGCGATGATGACGCTGATAGGGGAAAAGAGAGCAAACCGATTATCCCATGAGCCGTAATTTGACTTGTCTATTGGATAATGTCATCATGGCGCCGTCTCTTCGCTGAAAGACGAGCCGTCTCGGAAGACTAATGGACGAGGAAATAACCAAAACCGGAAGGAAAAAAAAAGAAATGTCAAAGTAAAACCCCTTATCACGGATTTTCTAATCGCCTCAACATTTAATCTCGGAGTTTAACATAAAATCTAGTGGAATAACCGTGAAAACTGGCGCCTTTGCTGGGGGCGATTTCACGCGTATATTTTATAATCACGAGTTATCAGGGTGAGAGCGTTTGTTATCGAGTTCCCAGAAGGGGTCCTTGTTGTGCTCGACGATAACGATCGTCTCGGAACGGAGTGAACGATTATCCTATGAAATGTAATTTGCATGGCTTATTGAATAATCTCGCATGGCGCCATGGCGGGATGACCGTTGACGAAAGAAACTGCGAGGGGCTTTTTCAATGACTTTTCTTTAGTCCCGGTGGATCTCAGTGGATCTCGCTGACCCCACAGGATCGGCATCCTGGAGGATCGATATCGACCTACCACGCGTCTTCATTTTTGATTCGCCCCCGTTCCCACGGCCACCACCTTAAAAACGCTCCTGGATTTTTTTGCCCGCTAATCGGGGAGTTTTCGGTCGATTGGCCGATCGATCGATCCCGACATTGCTCGGGATCGAACGACGCAATTAACAACAGGTGGAATCCTTTGCGAGGCGCCGCGTCCTTCTCCATCCAAGCCGCGCAAAAACCTGATGCGAAACCTGCCGAGGATGAAGGATAAACGAGGAAAAAAAATAATCGATTCCTGTAAGGATATTCTTAAGACTTACTTTTGACTCGTTTTTGATGTTGCGAGTAGAGATGTTTTTAAAAGAAGCCATTGTCGGAAATTAATCGTGACAATTTTAATCCTTTTCCCCGGTTTTCGGACCGATATATAATCGCGCCTGCCTAGAAGTCAGGAAATAATCCATCCCGAAGAATTCCAGGATCCTCCCGTGATTTCGACCATCCTTTCAGACTTCGAGAAGGAGATTAGAAGATTGAAAAAAAAAATAACAAAAAGCCAGAGATGCCTCCCGAACAGGGACTCCACCATGTCAGGTGCACGCAGCCTCCGCGTCAGGAAATGAATTATCTCCATTCCGCGGATTCCTTCATTTTTACCGGCTATAAATCCGGAAGTTGGGACAAGAAAATGCGGAGAAACGGAGCCGCGTCATTTTTCGTTCCGGAAGTGGCGTGGAGGTGTGGGTACGTAAAGGTATATAGAATGTGCACACGGAAAATGGGGAGTTATCCCAAAGTGGGATAACCAATTTCACGACTCGTCGACGGCTCGACCGAGGAAGGAAGGTCCATCCAGGATGTGTAAGAGCGGGATATGCAGGATATGCAGGAGTAGGATGTGTAGAATCCAGAGCAAGGACCCCAGTCCGGAAGCGAATCGCTTTTCCAAGCGACTCCTCGCGTAATGCATGCAAGCGATCCCGCAACTCCAACTTCCGGGCAGACGGCTTTAATTACTCGCAATCGCGATCGCCTCCAGGCCAGACTTTGGCTCGATTTG